ATGATTACTGTTCACTTCCGTGATGCTGATTGGTTGAATATACGAGGATCAATCATATGATGTAATTTACGCGTACAATTTTTTCAGTTGTTCCAGAATTTATGAAAACAGCTGTAATTAAAAAACAAATCCGTGTGGAAATGTTCGGATTATCAATTATCATAATCGGCCAATTTTTATCAGGTGTTCCAGAAATTTTGATAATAGCCTCGAGCAAAATACGTATATGATAACAATTCCAACTCACAGGTCATCCGCGGGTCAACCGTGGATCAACTCGCGGGTTGACCTACCCGTTTTCACCTAGTTGCGGGTGACCCGGGTCAAATCACTAGTTTGATATATTAAATTGACTATTTTATTCGTGTTAATTTTGTTGGCGGAAATAAAATTTATATATAAGTGTCGCGTAAATAAAATCTAATAGCTGTTTACGGAAATATACGAGGAGTTAAACGTGTGACCCGGACATAACAACTCAAGGATTGGTAAGTAAAAATAGAGATTGTCAACTTATGATCGGATGAATTATTTGAATTTTAAGTTTCACCAGTTATTTTTCGCCAGTTATAAATTTCATTTAGATTTATCAATTATCATTTCTACATACGTATGAATCTGGATATTCAATGAATATCCGAATACCCTTCATATCACCAAATTGAATGTCATTGTACGAATCCGAATGTTACTTTTATGAATCATTTCAATTTTTTATGTTATTTTGTATGAATTGAATGTTATTTTGAACAGAACAACTTCGTTGTTTAAGTCAAGCTAAAAAAAGAGAAATTGAGAGTTATGAGGTTCAAATTCGCTTCCGAAAGCTTCCGAAAGCTTTAATAAGTCTTGGCCTTGATAATGAACAAAGGACTTAGTTCATGTCCCGTTTTGGGGTTTTTTTTGAGGCTTATCCCACTGAAACACTTGTGATTTTCTGTCTATTACTAGGTTATTAGGTTAATGCGTAGCATTATTTGTCCGAAGCTATATGATCATAATGTGTCGCGTGTGTGGACGGACATCCTTTTCAAAATATTTTGAATTAATTTTGAGCATCAAAAATTGGAACTTTTAATGAATTAAAAACTAACTTTGGTATCACCTTACTCATCCATTAAGTGTCCTCTGCTACGCTCCGGACAATAAAGAGAAAGAAAAAAATTTCAAACAAACAGAATTTTTAGTATGTTAGTGACAACTGAAACGCCGATTGGGGACTGCGCTAGTTCACCATGTTTCTGGGTTATTAGTCGTCTAATGTATTGCTCGCATTAGTCTGAAAAAGCAAAGATGGATCGAACAGACATCGTATGCAACATATATGGGCTAGTGTCTCGTTGCATGTCGTCACTTGAAAACTCAGCTCTTCATCTTTTCTTCATTTTTTTGACTTTCAAGGTTCAAACGTGCTCGGTCGTGAGAGTTTTACATCAAAATTATTTTTCAATGACCTGATTAATAAAGTTATTAATTAAAATATTTCATTATGTTTATATAAAACTGTGATGTGTTCTCTGTAATTTTTGGCCGTAAATTTTTCTCTGCTTATTTTGGTTTGAAGTTGTATCCCAAGTTCTTGATTATAATTTGCGAATTTTCAATATAAAATTTCCCATATAATTATACCAAACGAATAAATTTCTGATATTAATATATATTATTCTCCATTCAAAATTTCTGGTCTGTATATGGTAAAATTCCATAAATTTCACGTCTCATCGCATTCAAAACTCTATTAGTTGTTATTGAAAGTCCCAAGTCTGCAACATCAGAGTATGTAAATTGTCTTGTAAAATACTATTATGCCAAATTTCGATAAATAAGCTCTTGAGTGAATTATTTGAAGATCAGAAACGATACAATGCACTTAGAAGATTCACCTTTTGATATTCCCATAACGCTTTAAAAACGAAAGATGCTTAGAATTGTGTTGTTAGACGAAACCTAATAATAATTCAAATTGATATATATAATTTACAGCTGTTTTCATTATTTTGAAAAATTGTTGGGACCGAATCAACGTCAGTAACTATTGAATCCGACTCAGTAACTTATCGATTCGGCCGTTAAAAATTTTTTTCAATGTCCCAAAAGTAAGAAAACAGCCGTAAGATCCGATAAATAATGTAAATATTATAATTAGTATATAACTCTGGTTGAATACAAAAATACGATACTTTAAAGCATCTTCGCTGGAAAATACAGTAACTGAAAAAAAAATACTTAGGTATTAGTAGACCTTCTATAAATCGGGTTCTCAAACACTTTCAAAAATATAAAAATTTCTGTCATTTATAGAAAAAAAAGTGTTTACTAAACCTGAACGATATAAGATACAGTATATCTTAAAAAAAATTTAATGAAAAAACACAACTGAGTATTTATATGAGATAGAACTTTGGTTAGGCGTAAAATTAGTCTTACGATAATTAAGGGCTATATATATTATATAACTACATATAACAAACAATATTGTTTATAAAGGGTCTAAAAAAAAATTATTGAGGCTCTTGATACCAAAACCCAGTTGTTTGGGCGGTATCCCGCGACTGTAATGGTCGAGGTTCGAATCCTACGCAGGGCAAACTGCTTGATTCAAGGAACCTGCTAATTAACTGCGCCTTGACTATGGATGACATATACATGGGTGGAACCGGATTTGCCTAAAGTTCCTGAAGAACTTGCAGGTCCCGTGGAAGGTTACCTGATGTCCGAATTGAATATTCCTCATCGGGGGTACACAACGAGGGGTGTATGACCGTTCAGTGTAATCGAATCTTCGGATAGATGGTAACTGAAAATGGGATGATAGTTGGCTGAGCCTAAGGGTCGCATGTTGGTCCATTGCCACTGTGGTATAGACGTCTACGTCGAGTGACCCGGTAACATATACCACATTATTTTTTTTTTTATTTTTTTGTGCGTGCTATTCTAAAACGTTATCTGGGGGTGAGTCAATAGAAACGCACCAAATTTTTTCTAAGTAAATTTTTTTAAAACTTTGAACAAAAATAAACAAAAATAATTTAACAATAACTTAATCAAATTTAATAAAAATTTTTTTAAAATAATTCTAATAATTTATAGAAATTATTTAAAAAAAAATTTTACTAGATTTGATCATGTTTTTGTTGAGTTATATTTGTTTAAAATTTAAAAAAGTTTCATTAAAAAAGATTTGGTGCGTTTCTATTGACTCACCCCCCATCTGTTGTAGTGTATAAATGCTAGGCGGTCTCGTAGTAATTGTCAGTTGACTTTGAGCAAGATTTATAAAAAGTTTGCATTTTTAACCGGCATACATCCAATAAATAAAGTCATATAAAAATAATTTTCTGCAACATTTTCTAATAGAAGTTTATCGGTTTTTGTATTAGTTTTTGAGTAACTTAGATGGGACCGATTAGGGACCGATTAGGGACCGATTAGTAAATTTTCTCCTTACTCAAAAACTAATGCAAAAACAGATAAACTTCTATTAGAAAATTTTACAGAAAAATTATTTTTCTATGACTTTATTTATTGGACGAATACCGGTTAAAATGCAAATTTTTTATAAATCTTGCTCAAAGTCGGCTAACAATTACTGCAACATTGTTATTAGATTAATTTAACTCAAATATTAATCAGTAAGTTACGTAGAGTTCAAATTGTTATTGCGAGATAAAATTGCAGTGTATAAATAAGAGCCAAGATTTTAATTAGAACTGCATTGAGAATTATACGCTTCGTTGTTTCATAATTATATCTGTGGGAGGACCTTATGCGGGTTAGATACAGTTAGGGCTGGGACCCGTAAAATTTTAGATATAAATTTTTCACAAAAAATCTAAAATTTCAAGTATCAACTCAATTTTCTAAAATTTTTAAATTCTAGAAAATTTATATCTAAAAAATTATCAAATTTAACTAAAATTTCCACATTACGTATATTATAGTTTGCGTTACGTAGTAATGGGATGCTTAACAATTCTGCCTGCATTAGCAGTAAGCTACCATAATGTGAGCCTTTGCAGGCTGTACTGTACAGTAGATTCAAAAAATATTCGATTTCTCATCCTAATGATACGTATTTTATTTTTAATAAAATTTTATACAACTTAACTTATTTAACTTCTACATAACTAGCTTGTATTGGATATTGATGCCGGTATCTAGTGATCATTTTTATATTTGGTCAGGATTAAATATTGTATTTAACAAAACAAAAAAATGAACTTACAAAATTTTCTAAATTTAAATCGAAATTTGTCTTAAATATATTAAATTTAAATCAAAATTTATCCAAAATTTATTAAATTTAAACAAATTTTACGGGTCCCAGATCCGAATTCGGTAGGTCTTATAAAATTATGGATCCGAGGCGATTCGGATTCGGTGATGCCTACCCGGGTTGGAACACTACCTAATTTATGTATTTGTTTAAAAGTGACGCATATATTAAGTCAATAGTCGAACATCACAGGGTGAAATGCAATCAATACGTAGTAATAACATATATACAGCATAGCGGGCTTTCATTGTAATTGGCTGATTTTTGTAGATCATCTCATCACATGGGAAAAATATTATTGGATA